TTCAAGATTATTTACTTCTATACTTCTTTCTAATATTTTATTGGATGATGTTTCTATAGCTTGAATATTTTCATCGACAAAAGTTTCCTGAATAGACATGTGTGTTTCATCTACTTGATTTTGATTTTCTTCTACTTTTTCTACAAGTAAAATATTTTCTACATTCGATTCCTTTGTATTTTCTTGAATTTGATTTGAGAAATCTGATCCTTTAATCTGATCATTGTGATTTATTATAGAAGAAGGTCTTGGTATACTTAAAAAGACTGGATTATAATTCAATCTTTCTGGAGTTTCAACAGGTACAGGTGTAGGTGTATGAATTGTATGATGCATCACAAGACATTCTTTCTGACTTAATAGAACCTTAGTAGAAAAAAAAAGAAAAGTTTTAAATTTCTTTGATTAATATTATGACAAAAATGAGCAACATTTTCTTGCAATTTTTATTTTTATTTTTTTTATAACGATTTATATGAAAAATGGAAATATTTTTAATTATTAAAAACAATACATACCTCACTCCGAGATGGACCTGGTGGATCTAACATCAATGTAACTACACTTGTATTATCTGCACGTAATCTTTTTGATGACCACTTTTCTAATGCTCTATCTACTAAACTTTTTGAAGGATTTATCCATAGTTGAACATTATCAGCTTGCTGTTATAAAATAGTCACAATTACGAATATATATATATATATATTTTTTGCATTTATTTGCAATATTTTATATAAATTAATTTAAACATACCCCATTACACGTTTGTTGAGAAGCAATTAGATGTTTTTCATTATGTCTATCTGCAGCTTGAACTATAGCTACTGCAGTTTGAGGTGTTAACATATTCCATAAACCATCTGTTCCAAAAATAAGGCAACGATGTGATTCAACATCAATTGCAACTACTTTAACATCTGGTTCTGGAGATACAACAAATGTGTTTAATTCAGAATTATAACTCCAAAGATCACCTAAAGAATATAAGATCGATAATTATATAATACTTTGCATATTAATATGAATTTTTTAATATTTCAATAACAATATACCTAATGATCTAGCAACAGCAAGAAAAGGAATTTCATCTATATGAGTTGATCTTCGAACTGGTCCTTTATGTCCTATACGAGGTCTATTCCATACAACTCTTGGAACTCCAGATTTACTAACAACTTTACCACCAGATTCACGTATTCTCATCATTTCTGGTCCACTTTCTGGCTTATGATCCTTGGTTAAAGCTTCAGCTCGCCATTGAGGATCACCATCTACTTGGTATCCTAATATTATGGCAGAATCTCCTACATGACCTAAATAAATCTTCCCTTTACGAATAAAGGCTATGCTAGCCGTAGTCCCAGCCGTAGATGGTAGTCCGGATGCAGTTCTTGGCCATTTATCTGTCACAAAAACATAAATTAACATTAACATATATGTTCGAGAATTTTGCAATAAATTACATTTTACAATTCTTTGTTTTATAATAGACAAATTGATAACAGAAATACTAAACGAATTGAATATTTTCTTTCAACTACTTTTTCTTTGAATTCAAATTTTCAGGTTAGCTCAGATTACATAACCTAAATTCTAACCTAATCAGGCACAGGTGGTGGGGGAAATACGCGGGACAATGAGAGAAGTTATTAAAAAAATACTAAATATACTGAGTTTTTGGATAAATATATTCAGAATGTATTTAAATTTTACTAGAAACAAATAAAATAATAGAAATAATGAAATAGACAGGAAAATAAGATTTTTACCAAGCTCCCGCCACATCGCATAGTGCGTGTTCACATATCCGTCTTTGATGGCTCGAAGTACATCCTCATCACGATCACTCCAAAAATTCTTCTGTTTTACAATAACATTCATTAGATGTTCTTTGGCAAAAGTAGCTGCTTCGCCGCCACCATGGCCATCGAATATTCCGAAGAAGGCATATTCCAAATCTTTGTCATCCGGTGTCGATTGAAAAGCCACGCTGAACATGTCCTCCATGTACTTACGACCGCCCTGATTACAGTGTCCGGTCACTCTTAAGTTAACCCCAATACTCAACGGCATGATGGACACGCCGGTGATCCAGGATGCCGATGAGACAAGACTTTTCTTCCTTTACTACGCACTCTTTCGACACGCACAGAGAACGGAAACCTCGTATTTACTGGGCAGGTCTGCGCGTAGCTCGAGGGACGCACACACACTCCAACAATCATGGCCCCACACAGCACAATGACGTTGCGCACAGCGGAGTAGGGCAAGAGGGGTCGTCCCCTCTACGATTTCACCGTCACCAATACGCTGCACTATGTCCGATGTTTCTCAAGAATCTTTAAACTAAAAATTTTCAAACAATACAATTCATGTATATGTATATCTTTTTTTAACCGTTAAAGATATTTTTTTAATCTATTGTTAGATTATATAAGAATTAACTATTCGTTCAAATTATTGTTATATTATATAATAATTATATTGTATAATAAATATTTGAATATTTTATATTATGAAATTCAAAATAGGATTTAAATTGATTCGCGCGCAGAATGTCCACGTGAAAGCATTAACGATGTTATTATCTACAAGTTCGATAATTTACAAAATGTTTCATATGTGTATATGTATTTCCAACATAGTTGTTCTCATTAGTTCGATTTTCATGAAGCATATGTTAGTCAATGTGTAGCTAATGTGTAATAGTTCGATTATTATGATTGGACAATTTGATTTGCCGCGCTTCAAATTTAACCGGGAAACTAGATGTGCTTATGAAATTTCCAAAAACTCTCCGTAAACAGCAACTGGGTAACATTACCTCGGTTATATTACTCTCACCGACGACCACCACATGCAAAATGTATCGCATCCCCCTTCCGTTTCATCGTTTCCTGTCTATCCCTACCATCGTGGAAACTTTTACCCTATTCCTTTCCCCTCCAGCCGTCGACAACGGGTCGGCCCATCAACGTCGGTGCTATTCATGCCGCGCATCTCGGCTCACGCAGTTGCTACGTTGCCACATCTTCTCCATCGAACCTGAACTTTCTTGTCCAGCTGGAGACGGGCATGGCTTTGAAAAATTCTTTTCAAAATAAGAAATTATAATTTTATATAAATTATATTTGTAACATAAATCTTTTTTAAATCATTTTATTATTAGAATTTTTATATAAATAAATTAAATTGGAGTAAAATTAAGTACTATATAAGAAACTTATTGGAGCATGTAATATTTTGTTCTCAGATTTAAGTTTCCCTCTTCGTTTGAATATTCGTATGTTTTAATGTTCGAATAGTGTGACACATGTTTGTAAAATATAGTCAAAAGTATATGAAGGTGATTGTTAAATAGTGACAAATTTCCATTTCAAATCTGTATTTTTTTTATTAAGATAAGCGAAAAACTTTACATTGAATAAAGTGAAAAGCAAACATTCTGTTTTGTCAGGTAACGCAGTTATCTCTTTCCAAGAGCAAAACACAGGGCACGTGTTTGAACTTACTTGCCTTGCGATTTGGCAACACTGTATTTCGTTCAAAATAGCACTCCCAGCTGGCGGCTTTCGCTTAACATCCGATAGGCTATAGTCCGATGGGAACTGTTTCGACAGTTTTGACTTATTGTAAAAGTAGAACTGATTTTGATGACATTTCATTTTGCAATTTTATTTTTTTCTAAAAATAGCGGTAATAATTTATGATTTAAAAAATGATTAGCAATATGGTCGATGTGTCATTGATTGCATCATCTTTTCGAAAAAAATGGCTGTTCTTAGAAACAGTTATATGGAAATACATCAATTAGCAATTGAACTATTTCATTCTAATATATTATTAATATTATAAATTTATTTAATTGTTAAAATTTTAAGGAAAAATTATTGAATTAGCTTCATCTTCAATCTTGATTACTCATTGGACAATAAAATTAATAAAAATAAGATTTTTAAAAGTAAATATTGTTTGGAACTGTCAAATGCAATTGCGCTACCATCTATCGACGATTAATAGAATTACTAAAAGATACGAATAATAAAAAAAATACAAAAATAAATCTAATAAAATAATTAAGTTTTATA